AAACCAAAGTCATGTTTTCCCTGGTGTTAAAATGCATGTGTCTCTTAGATGCCCTGGCTTTTTATGTTCCTCATGTTCTTATTGCTTTCTAAAGGCCATTTCTGTACAGTATCTAATGACTGTGTTCTATAGTGAAAGCTAACTATATCATGCTTCGTCTGGCACACTAATTTTACACCCTTTTGGTAATTAAGTAGATGGACCTGACTCTAAAGCTAAGTTCTTCAGTGCCACATAGACGTGTGACACAGAAAACCCAAGGGATAGCAAAAACACCATACAAACCTGATATCCAAGTGACAGCAAGACCTGGAAGACTGAGAGAATGGAAGCCCCCTAAAGAAAATTAGGGATGTGGGCTTGGAGAGGAAGGGAGTTGGGAAGAGATGAAAGCACAGATGCAAGCAATAAAGTAGAAGTGACACAAAGATCCAGATATGAGGAAGTAGAGTCCAAGATGCTGGGAATTTGGAACTAGAATTGAGAAGGCAGTTCAGGACAAATACAGACTTGGGAGTCATCTGAAATGAAGCAAATGCTGAAACCACAGCTAGAATATTTGTAGATGTGGGATTTTTCAATAGAAGTGTGAAAAGAATAAAATGAGGACTAAATGATAGGAGAGTCTTCACATAGGTGGAATTAGTCTTACCTTGGAGGAATGTGGGAACAGTGGGGGGAAAAATCCAAAAGGAGGGGATGGCAGAAATCCCTTGCACCATGCTCTTTGCGTTTCTTATGATGCCATTGTGCTGTGCAGTTTGGGGAAGCCAGAGGTTGCTGTGAAACAAGGTGCAGACTAGAACAGGTGAAACTGCCTCTATTCAGTCCTGACTGGCATGCGTCCTCTCTGGAACTCTGGGAAAGTTGTGGTATGACTCTGTGTCTCAGTTTGGTCACCTGTAACTCAAAATGACAAGCTTATGTGCTCCTAAGATTGTTTTGAAGATCAAGTGCATTTCTCCATGGTAAATGATGACTTCAGCACTTTGCATAGAGGACACATTTTGTAAGTTAGCTATGTTTATATTGTAGCTTTGCTGGGATTGCATGGCTAAAACAGAACCCATTCTCATCTAAAAGTAACAATAGAGTTGCTGCACAATGATTTCCCTGACTGTCTTAGGTCAGTGGTATGCAAACATTAGTAAGTGTTAGAATCCCTGGAAATGCTCTCTGGCGGCACCCCTGCATTTCAGTAGGTCTAGGAAAAGGGTTGAGTTTGCCCTGCTAACAAGTAGTCCCTAGCTCATGCTCTTCATCCAAAGACCACATTTTGAGAACCAACTGTCACAGTGAGTGGGGAAGAAACCCCGTAATACTTGGAATCAATCAGGCCTTCAATTTCTCCATTACCAAAATCCAACTTGAGAACACATGTATTAGAGAGATCTTTACCTGCACACAGGTAGAACAGGCCCCAGCTGCGTCCCAGAAATGTTCTAGTCCAGATGTGTCTGATACATAAATACCCCTATGAAGTTCTAAGCCACTTTCTTTTGTGACCACACAAGGGCAGAGGACAATTTCAGCTCTCCTGGGTCTAATGAAGCACAAGCTGACCAACAGAATCCCCATCAGCAACAAAACCAGAGAGGGTACCCAGTGTTTACTTGTGTGTCACGCACTGTGAGATTCACTCTCCACTTCCACTTTGCCATTTCGTTCTCCCAAGCATGCTGAGAGCCAGATACCACATGGCAGTAAAGGGATACCTAGAAAGGCAGAGCCTCATATCCCAGGCGGCAGCAGACAGAGACAGAAGCCACTATTACACGCTGGACATAACTATAAAGCTTCTGCTCAGTTACTCAACTGCATAGTTCTTACCTTCTCTCTTCCCCACACCCCAAAAGAGACATGCATAAATCTGCTAGCAGCAACCACAGTCTGCCTACATTTTATTTATGTCTCTCTTCTCCTGCCATATCTTCCCCAGGTGCTAAGTTTCCAGATAATTGAACCATTCTTTAAGAGGTGTAGCTTTTAGTCCCTTTGCCATACTAGTCAAGGTCCCTTGAATGTGCTGACAGTTGTCACTGTCCCAGAATAGGTGGGTCTGGCTATACAGAGGTAGGTGTGTGTGTGTGTGTGTGTGTGTGTGTGTGTATACGCACACATTGTGCATGTGCTACTAGGGATTGAACCCAGGGCCTTCTGCATGCTAGGCACATGCTGGACTGCAGAGCTACATCCTCAGTCTGGAGGAGAATTTTATAAATTGTTCTGAACCCATGAGTACAGCCATCACATGCAAAAGGCATTATCATTTTAGGTCCCTACTGCTTATTCCTAGTCCACTGACAACTACAGCAAATGATTTTTTACATAACATTTGCTTATACTTCATATGATATTCATTCACTCTTTATTTTGTTCCTTCCTCTTTGTTTTAGACAGTTGGAAACTAAAGCTTAGAGAAGAAAGCAGACTTGGATAGGGTCACTTGGATCCTAAGAGGTTGACCAAGGATGCACACCCAGCTGCGTCAGATGTTACTATGAAATATGCATCCAAATAATAACCTCCCAAGAGCTCATACAGTCTCGCAGTGCAGAGAGGCAGACTTCTCATTAAGCTGAAAATGCAATTGCCTAAAGTTCTGGTTCTGCACCATATGGTCGAATCCCAGCTGAGAGAAGCTCATTTCTGCAACACACTGGGCTCATTTCACCAAGTAGGTAGATGTGAGATTTATGGGGTGGTCATTTCCAAATACTTTAAGCACTGGTTGCAGCAGTGGTATTTATTTTGATGCTTTCTTTCTATATTTTTACAACAAAGAAAGCAAATGCTAATGATGGAGAGTGTCAGGTTGCATCGCATATTATTCTCCAAGTGAAATGTCACTAACGTGACCACAAATAACAACCCTCATTTTACAGCCAGGAAAAATTAAAGGCCTGAAGGACAAAGGTAGGTATCTAGATCACACCACAGGTAATCTCCAGGCTAGGCATGAGACTGTCCATTGCCTCACCATCTCTGTACCCTGCATTCTTGCCACTATTCTGCCCCCTAGACTCCTCCAACGTCTACCTCTGCTAAGCAGATGATGCTAAAGTGTTGAGGAGCCTGGAGCAGGGGAGCTTACTGGGGTTAGTGAAAGAGACAGGGAAGCCAGTACCAGGAGAATTGGGAGTTGTGGAGTGTGTGTGTGTGTGTGTGTGTGTGTGTGTGTGTGCATTGTTAGACTATGCTGGGCTCTCAAAACCTATTTTAAGAGGCTAGAGGCTGGAATATCCAGATGGGGGGGGCGTGTAGAATTCAGAGAAGACACTGGGGCTGGAGATCTAAGACTTCCATCAAGAAAAATGGATATAAATGTGTGTTATGTGGTGGTGGGGAGGGGAAAAATGGTGGGGTGGGGGGTACCAGACAAGCAGATTGACTGAGGGCAGAGGTGACAGCCAGGAGGGACACAGAAATACTGGAGGTGAAAGAAGTTGCAAGGTGCAAATAATAATGCAGAGAACAGATAATTTCAATCAAAAGAACCTATAATTATAATTTTAGATAATAGCTGCTAGCATTTACTGAGCACTTAATATTTTAGCCAATTTACTGTTCTACATAGATTATTTCCTTCAGTCTTCCAACAGTCTGGGAAGACAGATTCTATTATACTAATTTTATAGCTCAACAAACAGACCCAGGCAGGTTAGATAACTTAAGGTCAACAGCTAGTGAAGAACAGAAACAGCATTAAAATCAGAGTGGGTTACTCTCAGAACCTGAGCTTTTAGCCACTATGCTACAATACCTCTTAGGGGACAAAGAAAGACTAGGATTAGTGTAAACAGCAGTAGTAGCAGAAGATGAAGCAGCAGCTACACCTGCACCCATTGACGAGTACCATTTGCCCAAACACAGTCTTTTAATTCTCAGACAACTTGAGATGATGTTTTTAGCCCTGTTGGGTAGAAAAGGAAACTGGCTCAATGATGTCAGTATCCTTCCAAAGTCGTACACCTAGCAGGTGACAGCAGTGGTCAAAAGCCAGTTCTGCTCTAGCAGCAGGACGCAAGCCACCCTGTGGGACAGTCACAGTGGACAGCCACCCAAGACACATCTGCTATGTGCTCAAATTCAGCAGCCCCAACAGTGGGATGGGAGAAAATTTTGCAAGCATTTTTAATATCAAATTCTCAGGCATTTCCACCATGGCTTCTAATTTAGTAAGTCATGGTTAGATATACAAATCTAAAGTTTTCAGAAGTTTCCTCCATAATTCTTGATTTGGAACCAGGTCTAGGGATTGTTTTTTCATGGATAACATCTCCACTGCTTCAAGGAAGGCTGTTAGTCTGTGAGGATAGTATGTGCTAGATTACATTTCTTTACACGAGCACACATCCCAGCCCAAATCTCAGGGCAGCAAGGTGCAACAAAAGGATACATGGCATGAAAAGTTTTTACCAGCAGACTCCAAGGAGGTTCAACTACCTTGCTTTTAAAATCCAGGAAACTGGCCTCACTTACTTGTGTACACATCATTTGTTTCAGTTTGGGCTGCTACAACAAAGTACCACAGGCTAGGGTGGGAGGCCTTATCAATAAGAACAGAACTTGATTTTTCACAATTTCTGGAGCTAGGAATTTGAGATCAAGTCTTAGCCTGGTTGAATTCTGAGGAGGGCCCTCTTCCATGTGTAGACTGCTAACTTCTCAGTGTGTCCTCCTATGGGGCAGGCTGGGGAGGGGAGAAAGGAGGAGGAGGAAGGAAGGAGGGAGGAAAGGGGAGAGGGAGAAGAGGAGAGAGAGCAAGAGAGACTGACTACAAGCACACTAATCACATTCATGAGGGCTCCACTCTCAGGACCTAATCATCTTGCAAAGCCACCACCTGCACATGTCACATTGGGGGTTAGAATTTCAACACACACATTCTCCTGGGGGTGCGGGGTGGAGGGGACAAGCACCCCATCCATACCACCATAGTTTTCCTTAAAAATACATATGGTAGCCTAAGACCAATTACATGATGAAAATTTCATTACCTAAAACTCTTAATCTCTCAGCTCCTACCACCACTTCCTTGTCATCTGCAGAGAAGAGCAATTTTCCAGAAACTGTTTTTACTTCAAACTTTTTGCCATAAGCTTCTACAGCTTTTGGACCTAAAAGGGAGAGACAGAGAGAGAGAGAGAGAGAGAGAGAGAGAAAGAGAAATCAGAAATGCATTAGTCTCATTGCATTTGACTACAAAAAGCTTTTCATAGAACATATACGTCTGACAAGATTGGGTTGGACTTTAATGTCAAGTGGATTGGTTTTCAGAAGCCAACCGTGCAAATCAGGCACTTCACTTGAGTCATATTCCGTCAATTATTTTTAATCATATGCTCTCAGGCTATGATTTTAAAGACCATCATGTTCTCCTTCCAAAGTAACGGCTGAATGAAATGCCCCTCTGCTAACCATCAAATTAATGTCAAACAGGGGTAGAGTTTTGGTTGAATGCTCCCAGGCCCATGAGGCTCACCATTCCTTCGGGCAACTGCCTGTCCTTAGCAGCCCTCCCTGTCAGGGCTCCTCTGATTCCTGCTGCAATCTGTTTCCTCCTGTACTATTGACCCACTGGCTGCATTCGACACCAAGATAAGTCTATTTCCCGGCAGAAATGGCTATAATATACTGGAATTAATTGCCTTAGATGTTGTCAAATCTTTTATGCTAGAAATTCTCTCAATAAAAAAATTAATTTAGTTTATCATGTGATGAGAGCTGCTGTTCCTGCAGGTGGGTTGTCTAGAGTGGTACAGAAGGAAGGCAAGGCCTCTGATCCCATCACATCTATATTCTGATGGAGACTGATATAAATTTAACAATTCATTAATAAGTGATTCAAAAAAATCACACAAAGTTTTAGATACTACATAAAAAGTAAAACAGGTTCGTGTGTTAGAAAATTTCTAAATGGAGGATTCATTTCAGTCTGTCCGAGCTGGTATTTCATGTGACTTTCAAAATTTGGTCTACAGAAATATATCAGAATAACCCATGGGTGTAATTATCCTCAGTTAACCTAGCTCTGATCAAGAACATTTTTTTATTTTGATTGAGAAATTCTTACAGTTAAACTTGATAGAGGCCAACATCTTATATTTTCCCCAAATTATATAAGAAATTCGGATATACCATATTGGTTTTGTTTCAGGAATTTTTTTCAAGAGAATATTACTAAATACTAAGTTGTAATGAAAAGGGCCTCAAGGCCTACCAGCCAGAGTCCACCAGGATTGCATGTGCAGGTGAGCAGGCTGGCTTTATCCTCAGCGTCAGGGGACAAAGACACACCATGGGCAAGCACGGAGCCTCTCAGTAAGAAGCTATTGAAAGGACTTACTGTTGAGGTGGGGATTTAGCTCAGTGGCATCACACCTGCCTAGAAAGCACAAGGTCCTGAGTTCAATCCCTGGTACCGCAAAAACAAAACAAAACAAAAACAAACAAGAAAAAGGACTCACTGTAGGGTTTGAGCTCATCCTATGGATATTTGTAGGAAAGTTTTAAGGAAGCAAAATGAAGATGAAATACTTTCAGAAAATGAGAGTAATTTTGTGCTTGGGTATCTAAATTAATCTTACCTACAAGTAGAAAAGGCCAGGACAAAACCGAACTGGCAAAGTTTAAGGAAATAACAATCACTTACATTCCATAGGCTAGGAGATATTTGGTGTTTTTTTGTGGTATAGGTAATGTTTTTTAGCCTGAGTTCACAGTTGAGTAGGGGTAGGGGTGTGTGTGTGTGTGTGTGTGTGTGTGTGTGTTCTGTTTCACTGGCTGGATCTATTATGGCCAATGAGTGGCCCTGTCTGGTGATGTTCTGTAAAACTCTTTACACTTAGGTAGGAGAACTCTGACACATGTGGCTGATAGTTCCAGGTCAGCCCCTGGCATGGTTTTCGTCTTTGTTAATACCACTGTACTGGTTTAGGAATCAAAAAGACATAAATTATGTTCCAGCTCTCACTTTTTGGTAATGTGACTTTGAGCAAATCATTTGATTTTTCTGAGCTTCCACTTTTTCCACTTATAAAACTGAAATACCATCTACTCCTCTACGTACCTCATAGAAAGGTTGAGAGGATCAAACGGTATTGAATTTGTAGAAAGAACCCTGTGGGTGGAAAAGTGCTGCTCTTGTGGTTATCAGTGTCACTGCCATTACCCATCGTCAGTTTGTTTCTACTTCAGTGGTCACAACTCATTGAGTTATTAATGTGAGTGCTTCTTAGCACACTTTTGCCGTTAACGTAATTGTATCCATCTGGCCGACCCCATCTCTTGCTAGTACATCCAACACTAGCCTTCTGACCCAAAAAAGGACAGTGGAAAGGCTCCTCAATGAGCCAGAGGCTCGAACAGCAAAGACTGCACGGAATTTCCAAGCACTATAGGTGAGGAGAATGAGCAAGAGCCAGGTTGTGGCCTCTTTCAAGGTCACTGCTGAGCTAAGAGCACATCTGAGTCTGGAACCCAGCACTCAGAACTGTTTCCCAGAAGCTATGTGATGTCTATTTATCTAGGAAGGTAAAGAGGAGTCGACTCTACGTGCATACAGCAGCCAGAAGTTGGTGAGCTTTTTGAGGATGAGGGAAAGTAGAAAATCAGAGACAAGGACCAGAGGGAGACTGTGAAAAATGGAGATGTGTGATGAGGGATTTGGATTCAGGGATGGCGAACCTTTTAGAGCTTTCAATGATACAAACAGCCTGCTGCAGCACACGTGCCACAGGTTCACCACGACTGCATTAGGGATTTCTGTGAGGAGCAAGATGTAGTTGTCTTCATGATTGCGTCAAAACTCCAAGTAAAATCTTTATCACTTGTGAATACTTTAAAGACAGTACCTTTTTGAAAGAGAGATAAGGGATGAGGACATAATGAAGTACAGTATTAATGATGAATGAACAAATAAACGAATGACCTGAGAGTGCGCATAGTGTCGGTACATTCTGCACATTTGAGATCCAATCATGTGGCAAAGTAGGGGAAAGACAGAGGAACACAAAGACTTAGACTTTGCCTCCGTTGGCCTGGGTAGGATCGTCAGATACTGACCCATTCCCAGGTATGGACTGATTACTCTGGATTCCTGAATGGTTGGTGACACTTACTGGAAAGCATACTGTAGAAACCACAGCAATCAGAGAGTACAAAGTACAATTAAGTCATCTTGCTTTTCAGGGCTTCACAGAAGACAAAATAGAATTTACCAAAGGCCAAAACCACTTGCATTGCTAAAGTTCAGTAATTGTTAGTTTTAGCCAAAACCCCACAGAGCAGCTGTTGGTTCAGTGGTGCAGACAGCTTGCCCTTTGTGGATTTCACCCAGGGCCGCCAAACTTCCCTGGACTGGGCTGGAAGCTTCAAAAATGACTCTAGAGGGAAATGTAAATGAAGCTGGAGCCTGCTCTGGAGGTCCCTTGGTGAGCCCGTTGTTCCTCTCTGGGGTGGAAAAAAATCACTATAATGTGAGACTAATCCACAGTTAATACCCTCTGTGTATGATAGTCTATGTGGGAAGTACATTTTTAATTAATCTCCTAAACAGGGAGGAGAATTGGAGCCCATTGTGAAGCATCAGCAGCATCCACATCAAGCCACGGCCTGGAATCTGGGAACTGTGGTCACCCAGCCCGATTTCCTCCAAGGGAGTGGCCCCATCTCCAGTCCAGATGGTGCTGTAGAAGGTATCCCTGCCACACCCCTCCTAGGCTGGAGGATTCATTTGGTGTTTGCTGTCACTCCTGATACAATAAGATAGCACTACTGCAGGTCATCCAGAATCATGGGCAAAATGGGAACTCAGAGTCATTGGAAGCATTGTTTCATGCACAAAAGATCATCTGAACATCTAACATTAGCATTTCTAAGGGGCTCTGGAGATGCTTTTTAGGTAAATGGAAGAATCCTTGGATCCAAAGGATTTCCTTAGTAGACCTCATTGCTTATAAGACAAGAGTGATTTGCTTTGTGATAAGTGCACCACCCAGTGAGATGGGAGTTGTAAAGTATTGTCTGCCAAAACTGCGTGTTGCTTTGCACTGTACACATACAGTGAATGTGATGTAAAAGAACTCTGATGGAGATCTTTAGGGTGGTATGCCTCTGTGCGTGTGTTTGTGTTAGCAATCATATTGTGAATACATCTATTATCCTCTCTAGAAATCACCTTCAAAGGCTCCTCTTAGGATTAGAATGGCTTTTTATCCATCTCATTTTTGTATTACTCGACTTGTATTTTGTATTACTCACCTTGAAAGTTAAGGATAGGTGTCTTTAAGCTCCCATGAGAGCCCAATTTTATAATGGGAAACAAAAAGTCAAAGAATATTGAAGGATGAAGGTTGGAGAAAAGAGAGAGAAGAAAGGATAGAGGTGAGAATGGGAAGTCAGAGGAGAGAAAGGAAAGGAAGGGTGAGAAAAACAGGGTGGGATGGAGGAGAGAGGGGAAGAAAAAGGATGGATAAAGAAGGAATAGAAAGCAAGAAATGGAAATGAGAAGGAGGGAAAGAGGATGGGGGGAAAGGGGGGTCAGGGAGAGGGGAACAAGGAGAGAGGGGAAGGATGAGGACAGAGGTAGAGGGAGGAATGGAAAGACTGTCTTGTGACATAATAGGTCATTTGGCCATTTCCAGCTTTATCAAAACAAAAATCTCTCAAGTAAACCAAATCTCCTTCTGCAAATAAATGGCAACTGATCAACAGGCTAAATGCGTTGCTTTGAACGGAAGAATCTGGGAGCTGGAGGTTGGATTTATTTCTCTCCTGGAGGCAATTTTCACACATGCCGTCTAAATCACTGCTTACTGAAGCTGTTTATTTAATTATTTAGCGTGGTGAATGCAAGCCAGATGTTACATAAGCACAGCCAACAATCCAGTTGTGCGCTGGAAGAGCATGTCTGTACATTACAGGCTCTGCTGTGCAGCGGTTCCTCTCGCCTGGTGGATGGTCCAAGTCACCCAGTGGCTGGGAATCTCTAGACCACCATATGTGGTTGTCCTGGGGAGTGCGGCTCTATACCCAGCAGAAAGGACTCTGGGCACAAAAGCGTCTGTTTCCCTGTGGCTTGCTGATTCGTGAGGCTCCAGAAATTTTAGTCACAGTCATGTTCAGGGTTTTGGGCAAGTGGCTTCTCAAAGTCCCATCTGGATACTTCTCACTTAGCCCTGAAGCCAAACAAATGGCTCCATCTGCAGGTGTAACCATGCCATTCGCACATACAACCCCCCCCACGGTGGGCTGCACAGTGCCTGTGTATAGCACGACACTGATCACACTACGTAACACAGCACCATGGCCACGAGGCCCACTGGAATTGTTATCAAGAGTAACCAATCCTGGTTTAAAGTTTTGGAGCTTGCAGCTTAAAACCCAGTGGGTACCTTTCACAGCTGTTAGAAGCAGATCTTCTATTTAAAAAGAACCATGCAAATGTATTTCATGGATACATTTGCATCTTGCAAATACGTTGGGTCCAAAGTGAGCAAGCACATATAGCAAATAGAGCATGGATTCAAATTATCGTTAAAAATCCCTCTAGAACCCCTAAAGAACAGTGTGTGGCTTTGCACATACTCAGCTCCCTGAATCAACTGAACACACCCAGAGTTTCTTTCAGCATTGGAGCAGAGAGCTTTCTTTGCTTGAGAACTAGGTGAAGCAGTTGGCTTGAATTTCGGGGCCATGATCTATGAAAATGGTTTTTTTCTCCTAAGCAGGTATCACTGGATCTACAAATAGGTGTATCCTTTACCATCATGAACTATAAGCTCTATTTTCTTTCTCAACAGAGTAAACATGTTAACAAACCTTCTTTTCAAAGTGTTTCCTTTGACCTTCAAGTCTACATTTTCTGAGTTCCTAATATGAACCAGGCTTTCCTAGGTTCTTTTTTTTCTTACCTGTTATCAGCTGAGTTAGCACTTTAGTCTGATCATTGAGAATGTTCACTGTCACATTTCTGGCAGATTTGAAGTATAGGGCATTACCCTGTAATAAGAACATAGTAGAAACACATGAAAAGGGCAATTTCTAAACTAAAAGAACTGCAACTCTAAATCAGCAAGTGACAGAACTGGTTTTAGCCAAGTTCCAATGGATTCATCTTGAGTTGAAAACCCCAAATGTTTAATGATGTCCACACATGTGAAAATTAGTGGGCATGTACCCCAAATAGATCCTCCAAAACAGGCGTACACACGTACACACACACACACACACACACACACACACACACACACACACACTGTAGGTTTCTCTGGAAAACACACGAAACACATTATTACCGTTGAGCCAGCAACAACTGGAACACTGAACCCTTTAGGGCTTTGTGAAGACATGAGCTAGCTGTCTGGTTTATAGTTTCTCCAGCAGAACCATGTAGGGTCCGTAGAGGAGGGCAGAAAGCTGGAGTGAAACACCTATAGTCATGGAGTCACTTGTGGGAATGCTCGTTGGACATGGTTGTAGCACAGGCATCTGAAACCCAGCAGATCCATAAACCTCTGCCTTCTTTTCTTCCTTTTATTTATTTTTGTTCATGGGTTTCTTTGCTTCCAGGCACCCTCTGCCACCATCTACTCCCCTCTCCAGCAAAGGCGAGCTGGACACTCCTGAACACGACTCAGAACAGGGCTTGCACTCTTTCTCTGCAGAGGGACTCAGGGCAGATATTTCAGTTATAGAAGTCTCTGCTGTAACTACTCAGCTCTGCTGTGTTGTGCAAAACAGTCCGGACAGCACACAGAATGAGGATAGCCTCGCATTCCAAGAAAAAGTTATCTTTATGAAGAGTGATATTAGAATTCTGCATCATCTAACCTTTTATTTTAAATCTTACATAATCTCAATGTGTCATGATGTATTAGGCTTCCTTTCTTTTATCCTTCCCATCACAATCATTTAAAAATAATTCTTACTTTGCTGGCAGTATGCAAGGGCTAGTTACAGCCCAAAGGCCATTACTTGCTAACCTCTGCTTTAGAAGTTCTCCTTTTCACCAAAATCTGCCACCATCACGCAGTCCTTATTAGAAAAACAGAATCTGGCAGTGACTTCTGTCTTTGCAAACCTGTCACCACATGGTATATACCTGTCTGAACATTCAGTTCAACATCTGTATGCTAAGTCTGTCCAAATAAACTCAGACACTGTCCTAACAAGAGAAGCAAAACTCAATCTTTACCTTCAATATCTTACTTTCTACCAGGGACAACTATGTTAGGCAGTGAATATGAGGAGCAATTAGGCAGCTACAACATGCTTAGAGACATTCCAGAGGAGGAATAAACATTTGTGCAGACCCTAGTGAAGAATATATGTGTGTATGATTTTACCAAGTTGAACTGAAAGACAAAGGTCATGAAGAAGGCAAGGATGGGCTGGGTTTCCAATATCTTTCTCCTTTTAAGTTTTTTTTTTTTGGTACTGGGGATCGAACTCAGAATCTTGCACTTACCAGGAAAGTGTGGTGCCACTGAGCTAAATATCCGGCCATCTTTCTTCTTTTAAAACTGGCGAAGCTAAGGCCTGGATTAGGGAGCCCAGCCTAGCACCTGCATACGACTTTCATAGTGGCGGAGAGGAAATGGAATGGCAGCTACCATACACTAACAGTCTGGAGCCTCAGTCTTCCTCATCTGAGGTTAACTGCTCAAGTGGATGGCCAATGCCTATAAGCCATCCAAGCCCCGAGTCATCAGAGAACCTTGAGTGTGAGCTACTGTCCTACAATGGGGAAAGGGAGTGACTTCTGAGGTATCAGGTAATGACTGATTCAGTATAACCCCCACAGTTTACAATGAAATCCCCCCCTTGAAAAAAAAGGTGCTTCTTCCTTCATTTTTGAAATTGGATTGGGAAAGAAGTGCCTTTAATATAATAACGTCATATTTTTGTTCCAAACACAAGGAAACAAACATTAGCCTAAAACAGTTTGTCATTGTTTCAGAGTCCTCAGCAACTCTATTTAAAACTTCAAAGCCATTCAAAGGAAGTTCGAATTCAGAACTTGGAATCAGGACAGGTGACTGTATGTTTCTAGAAGTTCACATACTTCATATATTCAGCAACCTTGCACTGCAGAGAAGACTGGCTTGGAATCAGAAAACTGGACAAATCCCCCTAGCATTGACTCTTGGGAAGCCTTGGGCAACTGAGCTCACTGCTGTGTGCTTGATTCTTTGCATTTCTTAGCATCAACACCAACATCGATATGGAGCTCACCACTCCAGGGAAGGAAGGCTCACTGTGTGCCAGGGAAGCCACAGGAGATCTGGAGGTCAGCGAATTTCCACTCCCACCTCTACCGCTTGCAAGCTATGTGACTCTGAACAGGTTACTGAAGCATCTCAAGTCTCTATTTCTTTACTTTTTGGTGCAAATATTAAATTCTTAAATTCTTGAGATGTGTTTATTACTAAAATTTTTAAATTTCACATGTAATTATGAAAAGACATATGGTCCATTGTCTGGCACGCATTAAGTCCTTAGTAATTTTAGGGCAAGGAAAGGAGGGGAAAAAGGAAGCAGTGAATGATACAAAAGGAATAGAGGAGAAAAGGGGGAAGAAAGAGGTGGGGAAGAAGGAAAAGAAGGGGAGAAGTTGAGATGTAGAGAAATGATTCAGATTTTTCCAACCTATCTGTAGAGTCAAACAGGGGTTCCTTACATTTCCAACAGTCTCTGTTTCCATCTTTCAAAGGGTCTCTTCCTATATGTCAGTAGCTCACCATTGTCTTTCAAATCCTGGTCCCTTCAAATACTACCTGCTGGTCCTTACTAGTATTCAAATAACTGTCATCTAAAAATCTCCTAACAGCTTTGCCCAACATTTACAGTGAGAAATTGTAATAAAACCATTTATTGTTTCATTACGTCAAAAATATTATAGTTTAACAATAATTGTTCTAGTATGCTAACACCCTGCAAAACAGAATCTTTGCTACATCAAGGTTTAAGCAATGAACCTCACTCTCATGTGGGACAGGTTGCTATATCCTCAGGTACACATATAACACAAAGATTACTAAGAAGAAAGGTCAACCCAGCTACCATGTGAAGAGCTTCATAGGGTGGCTGGGTCTCTGTGATTTTTTAGTTTGCTCTCTGACTTTTCCTACTAAGACAGGAAGGCTAAAGCAGGAAAACCTACTAAGACGAAACTAGAAAAATACCAGCCAAGCGAAGCATCCTTGAAAGCCTCTTCTGTCTGAGAACAAGGGAAATACTCTTATGTCTGAAGAGAGGCTACCTTCTGCCGTGGCATCCTCTTCTTACTTCCCAGCACTCTCTCCCACCCACCACTGTGACTCTCTGAGCTCAGGGAAGTCTTGGAGAACAAGGGCTTTGCAGGTAGCTGCCCGGGGCTCAGATCTGCTGGAGGAAAGTCGCCTGGCAGATCCTCACCTGAGGATGCAGGTCACTCAAGTCAGTGTGCAGCCAATCAACCTGCAATTCTTCTGGACGAAGGGCCAGTGCATGGGAGATACAGAAAGCAGAGGACTCACCATCCTCCCTGGTGGAGGGAGAAGGAGAGTCCATGTCCACACTCCTCTCAAATAACTAAAGTACATTTGGTGCTGGAATTCTCAGCATACAAATATTTTGATGGAAATGAATCATAAATATCAGTGTTTCTTTAAAGCAGAATAAACAGAAGGGCCTCAAACCTTTTCCTGATGACCTGGAGTCACTGAAATGAACAGTATTTATTCCACTGTGTCCTCCAGGGCTACTACGTGCATGTGGCTATTTGAACACTAAATGCTCCAGCATACTGACATTTAAAAATTATTTTATCTGATTTTTTGGAAAATGTATTATTTATTCTTATATCAAATCAGAATGTGTAAATGTCAAATGCTACAAGCCTTGTAATGAAGAGCAGCAATTCACACCTCTCACCATTGCAAGAGTTTTCAACTGGTCTAGGTGATTCTTCAGGTGATTCTCTTCCTGAGCCTGAAATATGCTTCTGTGCCACCTCCAGCTTTACCAACTTTAGAAGTCACCCATTTGATTTCTCCAATGGTATATACTTCATGTAACTTTGGTGAAGTCAATATTCATAATTTTACTTGGTTCGACTCATTCCACACCCTGGACTTAAGACCTACAAGGGCCTCAATTCCTGAGCACTGACAGGGCTCTGGATTTTCTCATTTCTCTTTTGCTTCCCTCATTGAAAGATTGTGGATTCTGGTTTTACCAGGTCAACTACCTGTCATGTACCCACTTATAACCTTAAATATTTTTAATGATATTTCTTGTCTATTATCTGTTTTTCCTTTATGACCCTCTGAATTTACTTCTCCCCCATTTCTGTCTCTTTCAGTGGGGATTTTGAAGGAAGCAGGCCCTATGATTCCTCACAGGTATTCTTTTATGTACCTCTAGATGAATCTCATACAATTGCCTTCTTAAGAGAAAAGCTGGTTAAAACTGCATATATCTAGAGCAGGGAGTGACCAGTCCAGGACCCAAGAGCTTCTCTTAAGCATTCTCCGTACATTAATGTCAGATGTGGAACAAGTCAGATTTTGTTCTGGGATCTGGAGAATGGCAAGCATAAACAACCTTTATCTTTAGGAAGCATATAGCTCAACAGGAGACTGAGTTAATGCAAAATAATGACCGCAACCATGTGACAATATTTCAATCAATATTTATGTTCTCCTGGTATGAAAGGCACAGATTTTACTATTTGCATTTCATCACACCCATATCTCCAGGGTGTTTTGACATGACATGGCAGCCAGAAGTTTCTTATCTTGATAATCCCACACTATAGCATATTTTCTTTCTTTCTTTTTTTTTTTGTAGCATATTTTCATTGCCCTTGGAGGAGCTAACAATCTTCTCTGGGAATTGAGATAAATAGAAAACACAAGATTGTGCACAAACAACTTCTACACACAGGAAGGCTTTGAACTCTCGGTGTGAGGGAAGTTCAGAGGGCGAAGGAGTTGGCATGGCTGGAATCCTAAAGG